GGATACAGTCACGTTGGCAGTTGTTTGTAAATGTACAAAGACCTGCAGTGGTAGCTGACACAGTTTTCTAGGAAAGATATGGACACATAGCCTCTGACTTGCTTCCTTTGTTCTGTGCAGCTGACAGTCCTGAGAGATGGAGGAGCAAGAGGCTGGGATGCAGAGTGGGCTTAATTTTTTATCACACACACATACCAGAATGTTAACAGAAGTTGCTCTGTTCAGCTTCCTTGTGGGTTTTTCTTGACGAAAGAGGAATAAGGCTGTTAGTTTTAGATTCTCTCTTCTATTACTAGTGGAGCTTCTGAAATGAGACATGGTGAGTGAGCGCCAGTAAATGTATAAAAGCACCACTGTATTTATTCAATTTACAGTACTTTCCTTACAAGACAGCGCAGGGCAGCTTATTGAAGAGTAAATGAATTAAATGTACAGCAGGCAGAGAAGAGTATTCAGCAATATGTAGCAGGGGTGGTAAAGTGTGAAGCTGTCGAGCACTAATGTTTAGCTTAAGTGTCCCCTTTTTCATGTTAGGTTTTTTTTTTGGGGGGGTTGCAATTTTGGCATTTCAATATAAAACATGAGCAAGGAAATGTTGGTGTTTTTCTTGCACTGATCTCCTTTCCTCTAAGGCATGGGTGGGTAACCATTTTTGGCCCACTGAGCTAGATCCTTGTCTCTCCCCACACACCCCAAACACACCCATGGGCCAGCTTTCACAGGTGGGGTGGACAACCTACTGATCAACCACCTGACATCCGAATGATGTCAGATGATTGACACTTCTCAAATTCTCTTGCACAGCACCTCCCAAAGGACTGATGATCAGCTGTCCTCTTTGAGAAGTGCTTCCCAAGGGTCAAATTAAACCTGCAGGCTGGAGCTCCCCACCCCTTCTCTAAGGAGATGATAGTTTTCTTCACCTCCCCCAGTTTTACCCCATAACAACTCTGTGGGGTAGATTAGGCAGAAAAATGATGACTGGCTTAGCGGTGTTTTGAAGCTGAGGCCTCCCTTCTAGTTCAACACCCTAAGCATTTCTTCACTCTCTTTCCAAAACGAAATGGGCTTTCTGTGCCACAAACACAGCTAACTTTCTGAATGCTGAGCATAAGCTGCATCTCTCCATTTATTACCTGAACAGAAAATCTATGAAAATGCAGGGGTGGAAGGGATTAGTGATGTGGTGTGTGATGAGTCAGTACAGAGAAGCTTGAAGTTTGGCTTTGGGCATGGGGGAGAAATTTCACATGTTCCTTTCTGAACAATATTTTATATTAATAGGGCATGCTTCAAAGGGCTTATTTCTCCCAGAATTCTTGTGAAACTTGGCATTCCACTATCTGTTCAAAAAACTGATGTAGTCTATCTAACCTTATAGTCTTAAAAGCCTCAAAAATTTAAAGCCTTTTGGTAGAAAAGTTATTCATCGTAAGGTAAATAAATATTTTTACTCACACTTGGAGCAACTTAGAAGTCTACAGTTGAGGGATTCAGAACTCTTCCTCCACCCAAGTACTTTGCCTTACTCCATTATTCCTAATTCCTAAGGACAGGTGCTGTGTTTGCACATAATGCTTTGCCATAGTTTAAACAAAGCCAGATTTATAGAACCGGTGATGAACCATGGCTCCAGATTATAACATTTTTGGCAGTAAACAAATCATAATTTAGCTGCTAGACAGGGCTCACACATAATGGCACATCAAGGTTTAAGAAATCATACTTTAGCATCATTGGTATAGCATGGGTTGCCAGTGCCCACGGCTGTGCTTGGGTAGGTGGGAGGGAGGAAAACAGACAATGCACGCAGGAACATTCAACTACCTAATGGTGTCCATGACACCTAGGAGATCACAGCCTCAGAGATAAGAAACGATGAGCCGTTCCGTTGTCTGGAGAGGTCACTTCCTGGTTTCATGGAGAAGCCGTTTGCAATGGAGCCCAGCAATGGAAGTGTGCAGCTGTATCGATGCAGAACCAGGTGTTGAATTTTTGTGCCCCAACAATTTTGTGTCCAGGACAACTGCCCCTGTGCCCCCACGTCAGATCACTGTTTAGCATTATGTGCCAGCCAGGGCATTGTGTCTCTCTATGGCAAGTGCTCTGCTACTTGGGTTGTAATCCTCAGCACGCATATATTGAAGATTAACTGGAAATCTTTGCCAGGTAGAGCGAGTTCACAAATGCATGTCTAGCACTCGGTAACTGAACAGCAAGCAAACCACAAGTTTGCTGTGAGTATAGTAGTGTTATTTCAAAGTTTCCTCACAGGGTTGATAGGCTACAGGCATGAAGTGTATACATCCAAGGGGACCTCTACCTATCAAGGTTCTCTGGCACATAACCCCCCACATTTTCATGGCTGTTCATTTTCTTATAAAACATCTTACTCTTATTATGGATTTCCATTCACGGGGTGAATTAGGTGATCACTGGTTTATGGAATAATAAATACTGTATAAATCTGTGGTTGTGTCATTCTACTACCCTAGATGAGCAGCATTAAACATTGGGGCAATGTTATTACTGTATCTGGCTGTGCATTTGCAATCTTAATGGAAACTAGGATGTCTTCAGTGCAAGTTTCAAGTTAGATATGGTTTCCCGGTTTCCCCAGATACATGTCTCAGGGTTGTTATATTTCTCTTGACCTTCTGCACTAACTAGGAGCAAGGATCATGTGCACGCCATCTTTTTCTGAAGGCCTTGGAACAGTTTGTTCTGACAGCTTGGTAGGCAAAGGAGAGGTTGTTTCTCCAAGCACATTTCTTGAGACCTCATCAAACGACAAAGTCACAAAGGCTGCACATCTAGTTAAAGGGTGTAGGTGACCATTCCATTCAAAATCTGCATGTGACAAGACAAAAATAACCTCTAGCCTTAATAGGGCAGCTTATCACACACTGAATAGTTGGGTTTGTTTTTCCGAGGTCGTTCGGGGATGTGGAAAACATCCCCATCAAATGTTGTCACTTTAGAAGCTTTGCCACTGGGTAGAACAACTGCTTTAGCTATCTGATCACAGACAAACAGTCCTGCTTAACTTTTATTTTATTTTATATGTATATATTTATTTATTTTCATTTATCCAACTTCCCACCTTCCTAGTGCTCTGGAGGCATCCTTAAAGGGGTATTGGAGAGAAGACTTTAAAAAGGGTCAGTAATATTTTATGTGTGGTGCTACCAGGGAAGGGGGTGGCACTGTGGTCTAAACCCCTGAGCCTCTTGGACTTGCCAGTCAGAAGGTCAGCGGTTCGAAGAGGACTGGAAGAAGTTTAAAGATTACCTACAAAGATTTTATAAATTGTTTGAATGTTAAGAAAGTGCTTGAAAGGAAGGAACTTGGCATCAGTAGCCTAGATGAGAAATGTATGAGAATAAGTTGAACTATAGGAATGAGATTCGAAGTAATGTTATGCCTAAAATAAGTAGCTTAATATTTGATGGAAACATTTAAAATTATAGGCATAACACATTAGAACTAGAACATAAGATTTGAAATAAGGTAATAAATTGCGGAATATAACCTTTGTCCGGAGAACGCAGGAAAGGGAGACGTGAGGAAGTCCAGAGGGCTATGAAAAAATGTATGAAAGGCTGTGATTTTCCATTCTTTTTTCTGTATACTTTCTTTGTCTGTTATATGTTTGGTGACTTTCTTTTCTTAAAAAATGCAATAAAAATATATTTTTTTAAAAAAACAACAGAAGGTCAGCGGTTCGAATCCCCATGATGGGGTGAGCTCCCGTTGCTCTGCCCCAGCTCCTGCCAACTTAGCAGTTTGAAAGCACACCAATGCAAGTAGATAAATAGGTACTGCTGTGGCAGGAAAACAGTGTTTCCGTGCGCTCTGGTTTCCGTCACAGTGTTCTGTTGCGCCAGAAGCTGTTTAGTCATGCTGGCAACATGACCAGGAAGCTGTCTGTGGACAAACTCTGGCTCCTTCGACCTGAAAGCAGGATGAGTGCCGCAACCCCATAGTCGCCTTTGACTGGACTTACCTGTCCAGGGGTCCTTTAACTTTACCATATGTGTAGTGTTTGGCAGAAGCATAAAACAGAAAGTTCTCTTTTTGCCTCCTTAAAACTTGTCTCCCATCTGTACTATACATTTAAAGCAGCAGCATACCATTCCAAGAAACCATAGCTTCTCTAGTGATGTAGCCTGGGGGAGGTGCAGCTGGGGCAATTGTCCTGGAGCATTGTGGGAGGTGCTGTTCATGCTGCCCTCCTGGAGCCAGCCCTGGCTGTTATGTCCTTCTCATGCAGCCTCCCCAAGCGGTTTTGCAAACAGTGTTTCCATGGCAGGGCGTGGCGGATGAACAGAGCCCACCGCTCTGGGCTATTCCTCGCCGCTGAAGCAAGACCAGCCCCAAGCAGAAGTATAGTTTGTTAACGGAATGAGAGATTTTGGGAGACCCCTGTTTCCCCCACAAAACTACAGTTCAGTGTAGTACTGTACAGTCAGATCCCTGTTCCCAGGGAACTGTGGGAGTTGTAGCTCTGTGAGGGGAATATGCAGGGGACAAGATGGTGGAACCAGGGCCAGTGACCAAAGCTGGCTAGGTGTGTGAGAGAAGAACCGTAGTAAAGTCAGGAAGGGAGAATGGTTCAGAGTGCACCACTGGCGCCATTCTGCAAGACCAGATTCACCAGTGCATATGTGGTGCATCTACAAAAACTGCCTGCTGATGTGAGATCTATAGAAGTCCCCCCGCATGTAGGCTTATTTCAAACCCATATTAACCTTCCAAGAATCCAGTTCACGTTCTCCAATTCTTAATTTGTTTTTGATTGTGTTTTAGATCCTTTTCCCATGTGTGGTGTAAATAGATGATAATAGGATTCCATAATCAAAACGCAGTTAAAGGAGGCTCTAAAATATAACTTTGTTGTGGCACATGGACATTAAGAATATCTTATTCCCATGTCAAGCAACTGGACATGAGAATGGCAACTTTAACTATTATTGACTTATTGTCTTAATTTCTTTTAGTGAAGTGAGCACTGGAGCTGGGAGACTTGGCTGTGAGTTACACTTCCTCCCTTTATCAATGGATTCCAGTCTTACATGGTAAGAGTTCTGGGGTTTGTATCCCCCCCACAACACTCATTTCAGATGATTCTATTAAAAAGAGGGAATTCTATGATGTGGGTAGTGCTATAATGTGTGTGGCTATGTATTTTTGCATGCATTTTTAAATCATATGAATGATTTGATGCTTTTGTTAATTTAAAGCAATATCCTAGGGGTTCTTCTGAGGCAGCTTTTCTCTTGCAAAATACTACTGCTGTATACCTAGAAACACAAAAGACTTACAAAATGATGTGTCACTGGCCTGTAGTTTGTTGTGCTCTGTATTTAGCAAATGAAGTTGGGGGGGGTGAATGACTTATTTTTGAGTTCTGTAGCCTTGAATTTATTTAATATATGGGCTTGGATTCACTCGGGGCTCTTCTAGACCATGTGTTTATTGAGCATTCATTTTGATTTGCTTGCACGATGCTTATGCAGAAGTTAGACTATAGGTTCACCCAAACTTCCTTTTGTGCCACACTTTCCAGGCACAGACCCACACTTTCCAGGTCTGTTTGGTTGCTTTTTTGCCCCACTGTTTTCCTCAAGAAAAACCCACTATTTCCTGCCAAATCAGAATAAACAGCAATCTGTAGAAAACCCAAACACTGTTTGTTCCAATTCAGTGGTTTATGACAACTAGTGTTCTTCCTGATTTGCTTATGTGATGTTTATACATTTTCCCATTAATCATTTGTTCATCCCACACTCTTTCATTCTGTTCTGCAAAGCACTTTCCTAACAACAAAAAAGACTTTTTGAAGTGGATTTGTTGCATTCAGGCAACAAATCTACTGATTGTGCAAACCTGAATTTAAGGTATGCTCTTGAATCACTCCCACAAAATACAGTCTGAAGGTGACCTTGGTAATTTTGTCCTGATTCATATCTTAAAAGAAATCTAACAGCTTTTGCCTTCCTTTATTTCACATTGCTAATATAGAGTAGGTAATATTGGTCTCCTGTGTGTAACTATGCAGTTTGGATCAAGCATTTAAAACAGTTAGTTCAATAAAGGAAGACAAAAAACGAGCAAAAATTCTGGCAAAACAATAAAGACAAGCAAAGAAATAAAATAAAATAAATCATGTCTCACCAACCTCTTTGAGACGTGTGGATAGAGAAGGTCTAGTAGACAGTATACATTTGCATGTTCAAAAAAACCATTTTGACAAAACTCCACTAAAGGTTCTGGAGTAAACATAAAGCTCATAGGATTAGATTTTATGGATCCTTCATATGAAAATGAGGCAGAGGGTTAGAACAAATGGATAATGGTTTGAAATAAACAGTGGGATGCTCTAAATATGTGTATCATGATTAGGGAACTTTATCTTATTTATAAATGGTGTGAAGTTAAAGGTGAGTAGTGTTGTAGCTATATCTGTAGATCACACCAAATTACTCAGGATGTTGCAAACTCAGGTGTGTTGTGAACAACACCAAAAGGACTTCTGAACGGGCATGAAACTGCCCAATAAAGTTCAGCATTAAATGTAAGGTGATTTATGTTGGTACAAACAGATATGTGCTGGCTATGGGCTTGTGGTGAATAGCTCAATGTAAGTGTCAATCGCAGTGGGGGGAAATGCAAATTCCATGCTAGGAATTATTAGAAAGAGAATTGATATGAAAACAATCAGTACTGTAATGATTTTATTTAAATCTGTGATGTTTGGATTGCTATGTACACAGTATGGTCTCTGCACCTGGAAGTGACTTCATGGAAATGGCACAATCCAGGAAAAGATAAACTCAAATGACCCCATGGGCTTGTAGCATTTCCTGATGGATTAAGAAAAAAGTGTTTGGATGTGTGATCACCTTATCAAATGTACTGCTACAGGATGTTATGAGAGCCACTGTCTTAAATGGGATTATACCAGTTTGCAAGAACAAGGTCTATCAAAGTGTATTAGCCATGATAATTAAAATTGACATGTTTAATTAGAGAAATATCATTAACATTTACCGGAACTTCTCATAGACTTTTTGCATGAAAATGAAACAATGACATGTGGATTTGGGGGTTGAAGATAATGTTGGTTTATAGAAAGAGTTTTTGTTAGGTGTTATTTTGTAGTGAATGAAGTGAATATTGTTTATATATAGTGGACAAATGAAAAGAATTGGAACTTCTTTAATTTTTGTAATTTATCTTTTCTATTTTCTCTGTTACGTTCTTTTCTCTCTCTTATAGTCACTTTCTCTCACTTTTTACTTTTTTCTCCTCCTTTCCTTTTTCTTTTCCTCTGTGTATTTTATTTTATTTAGATTAATGTTGGCTTAAAAAAAAGATATCTGATATTAAGTTTTGTATCTCTCTTTATAAACTCTACTAAAATTTATTCAAAAAATATACAATTAAATGGATCCTCCCAAGTTCAAAGTCACTGTACCTTTAAATATAAATTGCTGGGAGCTCAGTTACCTTCGTGCTTTGCTTTTAGGCTTCCCTGGTTAGCTGCTGCTGGAAATGAGATATTGTCCTAGATGGTGTCTTATTCAGTCTTTCAGAGCTTTGTTTGTCTTCAGTTCTTTGCATTTAGGGAAAGGTCTCTCACCCATAAGGCACTTCATTACTCTACATTGCTTGAAATAGTTTTTCAGATGGTGTGGAGCTACATTTGGATCATGTTTTGACAGATTAGTTTATTATTATTACTGCATCGTCTGCTTTTGCATAGGCAATATTCTGTTCCCAAACATTCTGAATCATTACTCATGGTGAGAGGTTTTGGGGTGTTTGGGGCTTTTAGTGTCCATTAGAAAAGGCTGATCAATAAGAGGCTGCTCATGTCTTGTTCACGATTCGCAATCTAAATGGAAGCCATGGAGGAGAAGCACTCTCCGTCCTGGCTGGAGTACTGCTGAGTGAGCAGGCTCTTTCAAGTGGAAGTGCGTACATTTGAGAAATGGGCTTGGCAAAGGCTCCTGTCTTCCTCGGCGGAGGAGGGGGCCTCTAGCTGAATCAGCCTCCGCTCTGCACATTGCATGACATATGCTACGACTTTGGTTCATTAATAAGAAAGGAGAGTGAATCAGACTCCGTTCTGAATGGAAACGCCACCAGCAACCATGCGGTAGATGGGTTGGGCGGGAAAGGGGCTTGTTCTCTCAGTTTTATAACTATACTCTCTTTCTGGACTGGGTGCTTGTCTTTCAGCCATGTTTCAACGCAGCCTCCATTTTAAGACCGGAGGAAAACTGCCTGTCCGCTGGCATCTGTTAGAGTCCTCCACCTCCGCTGTTCTTCCTCATTTAAGTGAGAAGGCGAAAAGGTTTCTGTGCTTTCCGGGGAAACCGCACCTTTCCAAACAAGATAAATGTTCAAGGGTTCCTTGCATTCCTTTCATTTTCCTCTGCTGAGAAATCCGTGTCAAGTGTTAATTTCCTTTCTCCTAGTGGAAAGCATGGCCAGTCAATCCATCTGAAGTCACTACGGCATAAAGGGACTCTACTGGTCCTAGACCTGAGGTCAAACTCCCTCCCCTCTCTCTAAGATTGATTATGCCAATAGAAAATGGCCTAAAACCATCCTCTCTGCGCTTTAGAGATAGCGAATGAGACTCATAAGCTATGGGTAGTGATTTTGTTTTCCCTTTCTCTATTTCCCATTAGGGACTATACTCTTCTATGTAACAAGAGGAGCACTTCTAGGTCATGGGTTTTGTTTGGTTCTTTCATTCCTGCTGTTGTACAATAAACTTGAAAAGTCCTCCGTCCACACACAAATGGAAAATTAAGCTTGTGTGCTCTTTCTCAAACTACTATTTTCTAAAGTAGTAGCGTAATTATCTGGTTCTCTACTAGTCATCAGAGCAATCAGCTAGTTATGCAAGGTTTTATCCCCCCCCCATTTTTATGTTCTAATTCAAATTTTTATCAAGGATTTCAATATAAAATACAATAACACGTAAACTAATTGCCATGTTTTATTTTTTAATTCAAACCTTCTGCCCACCATGTTTGCTTTATTTCAACTGAAAATGTGTCATGGTGTGTATGTGTTTCATTATCAAGAAAGCAGGTACTTCTTAAAGATTTTATGATTGTTTTATTTTTTCCCTTAAGCCCTCATCTAGCATTTATGTGTGAAAGCAACATAAACCATAAGGGGAGAGAGGAGCTTGAAAAGCCCCTATGCATGAAAAAAAATTGCTTAATATTTATTTATTTATTTATTTATTTATTTATTTATTTATTTATTTATTTATTTATTACCCATCTGACTGGGTTCTCCTAGCCACTCTGGGGGGCTTCCAACAAATTAAAACACAGGAAGACATCAAACATTAAAAACTTTCCTATACAGGACTACCTTCAGATGTCTTCTAAAAGTTAAGTACAGTGGTACCTCAGGTTGCATACACTTCAGGTTACATACGCTTCAGGTTACAGACTCCGCTAACCATGAAATAGTGCTTCAGGTTAAGAACTTTGCTTCAGGATGAGAACAGAAATCGTGCAGCCGCGGCGCAGCAGCAGCGGGAGGCCCCATTAGCTAAAGTGGTGCTTCAGGTTTAGAACAGTTTCAGGTTAAGAATAGACCTCCGGAACGAATTAAGTACTTAACCTGAGGTACCACTGTAGTTGTTTATTTCCTTGAAAGTATAAGTAAAATAATCTCAGGTTCATGGGTTTGAGTCCCCATCGGGTGAAAGATTCTTGCCTTGCATTAGATTAGATTACCCTTGTGGACCCTTCCAGCTCTGCAATTCTATGATTCTATTCTATGAAAGTAAATGACATGACTACTGAAAGGATGTGTTTGATGAGAAAGCTCTGTGTGGACAAATGCTGGCTCCCTCGGCTTGAAAAGTGAGAAGAGCACCACACACCCCATAGTCAAGTTTGACTGGACTTAACTGTCCAGGTGTCCTTTGCCTTTACCTTTGGTCCTAGGGTGGGTTAAATATAATGCCACACGAAATGAAATGACGAAAGCAGCCAAGCCCTTCTGAGATAATGGCGGATTAGGTTTGGCCTAGATTTAA